GTGTTGGGTTCTGTGCTGACAGTTCAAAGCCTGGAGCCTGTTTGGGATTCTGCCCCCCTCTCTCTCAGACCCTCCCCCACTCATGCTCTGTCTCTGTCTCCCTCAAAAATAAACAAACACTAAAATTTTTTTTTAAACTTTTAAAAAGGGTACAAAGAGACTGCACTGCTCAGAATGTGGTCCATGCGGACAACAGTGGGCATCTTCCCTTCCTTCATAAATAGGAGCACCTGTTATGAATAGAGTAATGTGATGTAGTGATAAACAGACAGCTAAGGCCTCGGTCCTCACAGCCTGGAAAGGAGCCACAAACTCTGCACACTCACACTAGATTTTTCTCTAAGTTTGTTGCACAAGTCATGAAGCTGCTCAAAAAGATATGACTGAAATCTCGTGAATGCCCATCTTCTTGTTATTTTTGTTTGAATGAACATCTTGATTCATAATTCTTTTTCTTTAACTATGTAAGAGAGAGATTATCTACTTAAATTGTCAAGAGTATTCTGCAAATATTCACAGGGATCCACCTCTGCCAAATAACTTTTGCAAAATGATACTTCTGAACAGAGCACAAGGGTTTACTTATGCTTTGCGGAAGAATTGCCAAGAGGACGCTAATTGATATTCTAAATACTCTTTCCTATTTATAGATACTGGCCCAAAGTGGGTTTTCAGGTGACATGTACAGAGAACTCGGACATATACTTGTCCTTTTCTCCTGTCCTCCTTAATAGCTCTTCAAGCCAACTTCTAAATTCCTTCTCATTTTGATGACCACGTATCCATAAGGGAAACTCGATGTGCACTTAGTTCAGGCTGTTGAGTGTTCAGCCTCATCTTAGAGGGAGGAGTAGAAATGATTTTGAGTAGCATTTCTAGGTGATGGAAACCACTAGACTTAGTGTCGCTTAAATAGTTTGCTTGTCTTGGCTCACCTAACGCTTTATACTACCAAAATGTTGTGCGTTCGTGTTAGTCCAGTGTCACTTCTCTAACTCTTCTCTTTCAGCACTGACTTTTGAGAGTTAATGCCGGATGCTGTAGAAAATTCAGCATTTCCCTTGCACTCTGGCAGTGGGAAACATATCTTTATTAGGGGTTGCATGAAAGGGCTTTATATTTCTTGAAGCCTTTCCCTTTAAATTATTTCTGGTAGAGGTTGGATTTGAGATCTGCCTCTGACTTGCTAAGGGCTATTTATGATTTATTTCAACCTTTAGCTGGCTCTGGGAAAAAGAAATGCACAAAGTTGAAAATAAAGAAGGGAAGACACTTAAATCTCAGTGGTATTTCAGTGGCATGGAGCACCTTGACTCTTAGGATGGGTGCGTTATTTAATTTCTGATGTTTTTTATTCTTTCTCTCAAAAATAAAATTAAAATCCTTTATCATTTTTAATTAGAGAAGAAGTGCCATCATTTTTGAAAGAACAAATTTAAGGCTGTGGGTTTTTTAATGCAGGCTGGTCCTCTGAGACTTTTCTGAAACTCCGTGAGGAAATTTTAAAGCCAGTCAAATAAGTTTCTTAGGCAAAGTGGTGACAGGCCATGGTGAGAAATGGGTGTCGTTAAAATTTCATAGAGGTCCCTAACACACCAGAGTCACCACAACATTGACACACTGATTATAATATTTCCAAAGAAGCATTTGCTGCCTATCATGGCTCTGAAGGGAGCTATTTCAGTCTATCAATGCAATAATCTGCATGTTAAAAAGTCCCTAAATATGTATTTACAAGATAGTCAGATCTGTTTTGGTCTATTGGGTCAATAATCCATGCACTAAAAGCCCCTAAATATGTGTGCACAAGATAGACAGATCGGCTTTGGTTCACTGAGTCAATAGCAAGCAGGCCTTTAAAAAAGGGCCTATATAACTTGCATAGCTGGCATTTTAGCGAATTCAGAAATGCAGTTCTGTACACTTCCTGACTTTTAGAGAGTGGATTTATTATGCTAGTTTCAGCAGATGCCAAAAGCTGTGTTTCACTCGGGCCCATGATAGTTTGATTTTAAAAAGTCAGAAGAAAAACCGCCATAGCACAAACTAGATCACAGCTCGGAGGCGAATGATGGAAATGCAGGCATGTGGGCAAAGCCCTGCATGCAGGCGTGGATGCTGGCCTTCCGGACCATGCCTCGGCCCTTTCTGGATCACCATCCAGATGCATCCACCTCTTGGCTCGCCAGCCTGTGCTTTCCCGCTGTCCAACTTATTCCAGCAGCCAGGGGGATCTGGCTGTGCTTCAGCTCTTCGCCGGCAGCTCCCCATCCTCATAATCAAAGAGAAAGTTCCTCGAGGTAAGCCTCGCCTCATTCTGACTTCACCTCCTGACACTCTGGGTCTTGTCCATGCTGTGAGCACACACTGGCTTCTGCTGTTCCTTAAACATGCAGGCATGCTTCTGCTCCAGGTCCCTTGTACTTGGCCTTCTCCTCATGTGGAGTGCTCCCCTGTCATCTAGCTACATGGTTAGTTCTCTTACTTTCTTTATTTTCCTATGAGAGAGGCTCTCCCTGACCCCCCTGTGTAAGACGGCAACACCCTTCCCCAACACCAAGTATTTCCTTTCTCCATTATCCACGCTGTTGTTCTCCATGAGCACTTATCACCATCTAACATATAATGTCTTTACTTATTTGTCCACCTTTCTCCCCTGGAGGTTAAGCTACCCTAGGGCAGGGCCTTCATCAATCCCATACTTAGGTAAGAGTCTGCCATATTTTAAGTGTTCATTAAATATTGATGATAGAAATGAATGAAAGCAGAAGGACAAGGAATCTTCCTATGCCTGCGGATGTGTGTTCACGTTTAGGTTGAGGAGAAATAAGTATCTTTTTCTGAGATGAAGTCCGTTCTTTGGCTATTAGACTTGTTTCCGGTAATCTCTAGGTGGGACAAAAGTGCTGGATGAAGGTGCTCATCCACCGCATCCTCAGAGCTCCTGGGCTATGACAGAGCTCCTGGAGGAACTGGGGTCATCTTCACTGCTCACAGAAGCAGTTGACCAGTCTGCCGCTAAGTACAATAGTACATAAGATGGGACTGTCATTTCTAAATCGAGATTCCCCACTTAATGTGGCATCCACAATCAGTTTTGGTGATAGCAGTGGACTAGATTTTACAGTCTAATCTGACATGGTCATGAGGGTTGGGGTGTGCCACTCTGCCACAAAACTGTAACAGACTGAACAGTACTAGGTAGAACCATTATTCTCTCCTAAATCTGGTAGATTATTCGTGGGATATTCCCCTATGCCTCCACCTCTATCTTTAACCATGTAGAATGCTTTCCGATGCTTCCTTTCTCATGAGTGAAGCCTGTCACAGTAACTTCTTCCTTATTTAAATTTCACAGGAACATTCTTTATTTCCAATCATTCAGAAAGATGCCTTAGGCAAGAGAATCACAGCTGACTGCAAATTAATGACTATGATGCTGTGATTAGTTGAGATTACAGGCTATAGAGGACCTGTCTGAGCATTTACTACTGTCATCGCACTCATGCTGGCATCTATTTGACACTTAAATTGTTCAAAAAAGAGGATGTGGTTTGGCTACAGTAAGCCCTTTACAAAGGTAAGAAAATTTGTCTGTATTGTAATATTCAATGATATGGTAATCAATTAAAGTAATTTTTACTGTTAACCTGCTTAGCCTAAGCAAGTCTCCCTTCCATGCTCTCCCTCTGAACACAGATTTATTTTGCTAAAGCTTGAAGGCACAAACAAAATAAAAGCTGATGCGATCTAGGTAATTCCAGTCCCCAAGCCCAAAGTGTTCATTAACAGAATGAAAAACATCATTTAATCTGGAATTATTTGGATAAGAGACTCAATTTTGTAATTTATTTCTCATGAGAAGACAAAACTTAAAAGATGTTTCAGGGCATACCTGTCCTTGAGTGGATTTATAAAGTAAAACTTTTCAATCAACTTAATGGAGAGGGGATAAAAAATTAGCAGGAACAACGCCACAATCTATTACTCAGGTGCTAGATATCATTGCGCATCCTTCCAGATTCTGGCTGAAAAGAAATAATGGTTTCTGTAATCCTTAGCAATGACTTTGGGTGGGGGAGGGAGATTTCAAATAAATGTCTATTTGCTTTAGGTGAGCTTCACTGAATCGGCCTTATTTGATTTCAGATCCTCCTAAGGGAAGAGATTTCAGGATTTCCTGGTTGTAAAATGGAAAAGAACACTTTGCTGAACTTGTATGACATCATCTAAAGCATTAAAAGGGCAGATAATCATGGGTTCTCTGCCTGTTTACCAAAGCTTCTTTACCTCCTCAATCTACTTTATTTCCAAATGTCAGAGTGGTTTGAAACCTTTCAAAGATTTATAGCCTACAGCAGCAGAGGAAATATTAGGATAAATCCTTTAACTTTTGTGAAAGCTTTTAAATAATTAATCAGTGGGCTTTTGCAACTGTTATATATCATAGTACAGATACTCTAACATATACTGTATGAAGGCTAAACCACAAAGGGCATTAGGCCATCTCTCTTTCTAGAAAGTCAGTGAAACTACATTTTAGAGCATACACTTGAGTCACAAATAAAGAGAATATTGAATAAGTGAAGGAAAATATAGCTAATATAATACAATCTAATTTATCAGTTAAAATCAAAATACTATACAATGAATAAAACAATAAGCACAACCTTGGTTGTAAATATAATTTCTTTTCAAAGTCTACTTGGAAATTAACTTACATTATAGAAAGAAGGAAAAATGTAGCTGATAACAATATTCATAAAAAGCAACAGAAATGCGAGCAAATTATTTTCAAGCTTATATGATAAACATGTTTTCCAATATATTTAAAATACTAGAACCAAACAGCTAAAACAAATAATACTTTAAAGAACTCACCCTACATATGTAATAGAGAAAATATCTCTTGTAGTAATAAATTAATTTTGTCTTTGTTAGGCAAACCCCTCCACCATAACTTCATGAAGAAGTGTGAAGTGGTGTGAAAATGATCTTACCTCGTATTCAAAATCCTCTGCTCTGTCTGCATCCGCAGGCAAGCTGGAAAGATACTCATTGTCCTCATAAAATTCATGCTCCATCGGATGAAGAGAGTGGCAGCTATGGGGAATGTAGCAATCAAAAAGGTTGGTTTAAAGATTAAAACTAATTTTAAATTTTTACTTGAGTCTTCTTTGCTTTGGAGTAAGACCTGTAGTGATTCAGTCTAGAAGTGAACTAAAAACTCAGAGAGAGCAATTGTTTTCTTCCTCCCCTACAATAGGTCCATCAGTGTGATTTTCTCAGAGAATACCAAGAGTAAGGGCCTATGATACTATCTGGCCTGCCTTCATTCCACCAAACAGGACTTGCTCCATATATGGGTGCGTGGCCTTTGAGATTGCAGTCTACCCAAAGAGGTGGATTTTGTAATAAAGTACTACCAATTTCATAATACACAGCCCCAAACTTGTTTCTGAATCTGTTTTCAAAAGCACCTATTTTTCAGATTGTGAAACACACTCACATTACCCTCGTTCCTTAAGAGCCTCATAAGCCACATTTCCCCCTCTCTGACAGAGGGCCCGTGCACAAATATTAATCAGCATTCATGGTAATACCTCACTGGAAATTCCTAGAAGTCATAGGATTTCATAATCCTTTAAAAAAAAATTCATGGGGATGGAGAGAATATTAAAGGAAATGATGGGGACCCAGGGCATTGTATATGACTTTTATATATCTGATTTTGGGAAAAAAACATTTAAATAATTATAGAAGTGCTTTAAAATTACTATATGGCATGATATGGATCCTATATATTAGACCATACGAAGGCTAAGCACAGTTTAAGAGCAAAGGGCATGAATGAGGGCATCTCTATTTTTAAAAAGCCAGTGAACAAGCCCCAGTGCGATTAACCATGCTGGTGGCAGGTGAGACTTCTAAGTCCTGCCGGTGTAGACATTACTGAAAAACTGGACTTAGTGGTATAAACTAGTTTCCTTATCTCCAGCTGAAAGGTGAGAGAGATGTACCCTGGCGTCCTCACACAGGCAACATAAATATCCCACCAGCCCTTTCTCACTGTTACCCATGGCTGTCGCCCCCATTGAAGGTTAATCAAGGTGAACCTCAAATAGCAAACTCAGTATAAGCAGCATCTTGCTTACTAGTTCCAATAGGTAAACCCTCCTTCTTAAATTTGGACTGGCTCTGAAAACCCTTTTGGGCTGGTAAACTGTTAAGCTTGCTGCTTTGGGCATCTGCTGCATTTCCTTGGTCTTTCAGTTGGTAAGAAGGGAGCCCTACCACGAGGGACACCTTATTATTCAATAAGCATTTGTTGCCAGTCAGATGCTAGGCCCAACGCCAAGGGCTGAGAATCTGGTGGTGTACAAAATCCAGTTCTGGCCCTATGAACTGGGGAGAGCAGTAAGCGGGACTGCTCATATGAGGTGATACCTAAGAGGAGATATGGAGGCTGTGAGAGCAGATGCGAGGATGTCCTTCTGTAGCCCTAGGATGTTTTCTAGAAGACGCTGCCTCTAAGCTAAGATCTATGACTTATGAAGAGCGACATAGGATACTGGTTAACAGGGTAGCTGCTGGGGTCAGACCTCTTAGGCCTAGGAGCCTGGCACTATCACTTCCTTGCTATGTGACTTTGGCCAAATTACTTAACAACTACCCTCATCCATGATGACAATAATACAAAAGATCAAATAATACAAAATCAAAAGATCATTGTGAGGACTAAATTAATCAATGAATGGAAACTAATAGTACCTAACACGTGTCAAATTAGCTAATATAAGTGAGCTATTATTTGTTCATTGAGGTATTTATTGGAAGGCTATTCTGTATCAGGCTGTATTAATAAATATATATTTGTTTGCTTGCGTGTTCTTCATACCCTCTAGAACGCAAGCTCTAGAGGCACTTGGGCCTCACGCTAAAAATTCCTTTTTAATTGGCCTGAGGTGGGATTCAGCCATTGGACTGATACTGTCTTTCAAAATCCCCAGGTGATTCTAATGTACACCTGTGAGCCAGTGGTACTGAACCTAACAAAAGCCACTACAGGGCAGGGAAGTGGCATGATCATATCCCTGTTTTTACAATGTGCAGAATGGATTGTGGTAGGCAATGAAAATGCAGTCCAAGGAGACTATTGTTCTCATAAATCAAACTCTCCCTAATGTTTGAATATTTGCTTAAAAGCTCACAGAACAAAATGTATGGGGCAAAACATACTTTCTCATAAAACAAAACTGTACAAGTAAGCTTATTTGAATAAAATATCTCTAACTGCCTTGAGATTTGGTAAAAATTGGGAGGCACTATTCGTTTAATAGACCCTTATTCCACGGCGTTCTGTACTTACTGACAGCCAGGATCTTTTGTTTACATCTCAATATACTGGGTAACTGCTTTCTTTGGAGAATTGCATTTTAATTAAATTAATTTCCTAGCTTTTCCTTTAAAGAAGAGAAAAGCAAAAGAGTGAAAGAGAGGCGACTCACAGAGGAGATTATAGTGCCAACATGCCACTTCTGTGTCAGTCTTAATAAGGTTTTTGGCAGCTTTGGTGAGAGAAGCTATTTCCCTGACCAGTGCTCATGAGTGGCATGACGCTTTTGATGGCTGGAAATAGGAAGATGAGCTAATCAGAGCCAGAATTTTCCATTGCTCCTCAGCAAGCAGGATTCCCAAAGTGAAGCAACTGTGTGGGTCAGGGAAAGTAGCTAACAGCTGAGAACTAACTGGATACATCCACGGCAGAGATATTTTCCAAAGAGAACTGAGAGCCTGTCTCTGTAACTGTCAACTTGCTAGTGTGACTGATTCTCTCCAACACCTACTTGAAATGGCTAAATGACAACAAACAGGGCTGTAGGAAAAATGACAGAAAAGATACCTGTCTGAGAGCAGAAATGGACAGATGTCTGGCACTGGAGGAGTAGGTGGCCTAAGTTTGGCCAGGGCCATGATGTGTTCAAAGGTGATGTCTGTCTGAGTGCTGGCGTCCATGAGCTGCACTTCCGGGACCGATGCATAAGCTGGCTTACTGAGAGGTGTCCGTCTTAGCACCTGGACCACAATGGGCTCCTTGGCATTTCGGAAAGCTTCCACTGCCTCTTCATGGGTGGCCTTTGAGAGATCCTTCCCATTGACCTGTGAAGATAAGAGGACATTGCTCATCTCAGAGAAAAGAACAGAGAGGTTGACACTGTAGATTAACAAAAGGTGGGGAGGGTGAGTTTAAGCCAGCTCTGATACAAATTTTGTAATGCAATATTTAATCAGACACTGATGTTGATTGAACCCTTCACCAATATGCAGAGATGAAGATTAGGAAAACAACTGCTTCTTGTTTCGTTAGGAAGTACACTGTCAGGATCCTCAGTAAAGACTTAAATTTTTTTAATATAGTTTTTTTAACATTTATTTATTTTTGAGAGACAGAGAGAGACAGAGCATGAGCAGGGAAGGGGCAGAGAGAGATGGAGACACAGAATTTGAAGCAGACTCCAGGCTTTGAGCTGTCAGCACAGAGCCTCATGGGAGGCTCGAACTCGGGAATGGTGAGATCATGACCTGAGACAAAGTCAGACACTTAACTGAATGAGCCACTCAGGCGTCCCTAGACTTAACATCAGTCTCAGAAAATGTTCACCCAAATCTTCAGATAGGTAGAAATCTTAAGTATATCTTTTTTAAAAAAATGATCTATCAGTCTCTTGGTGGGATTTTCAATATTTAATCAAAGTCTTACTGGCCTGAAATCCAACTTTTTGGGTGTTGCCAAATTTCTTTCATATTCTTCATTTCTGAATCCAAGACCATATCATTGTCATGTGCATTTTATCTTAAATCCTCGATATTCAGTGCGGTCTGTAGACCGGCAGCTAAGCATCGCATAAGAGATTATTGGAAATGCAGCATCCCTGGCCCTATTCCAGACCCAGTGAATCAGAATTGGCATATTAACCAGATCTCAGCTGATTCAGATGCACTTGAAGGGAACACTGCACTAAAACGTCTCTGAGTATGCTATGTGCCTTCAGATCCTCACCTGTGTTTATGTATACCCATTTATGACTCTCCAGGGTAGCCCTGGACAGAACAGGGAAAGAGGGAACATTTGCCTTTGCCCTCCATCACTGTTTCTCAGCAGGGCCAACCACTGGCATTTGGGAGAGAAAAATCATTGTTTTTGCGAGACTCTCCCATGCCTAATCATCAAGAGCTATTGTCAGTCTCCAGCCTTTGTGGCACTCCAAACAGCCGCACACTTTTCTAAACCTCCTCTCGAGCGGCAGTACACATTGCTCTCAAATAGCTGTTAATTTATTTCCCTAAAATGGGTCCTGATAACAGAGTCCCTTAGTGGAAGTTGTGTTTTAATAAAGGACTACAGCATCAAGAAATAGTTCCACAATTCCCACCCTAAATGAATCAATAATGTTGGCTTTTGCAAATAGGAAGAGACACTTGGGGGCACAACACTGGGCTTAAAACCCCCTGAAATTTTACCATTTCTAGACAACTAAGCCACCAGCTTGGTGGGGGGCTCTGATAACTGCTATGCACCAGCAAATGTTTAGAGATCCCTGGGTGCCTTAAAAAGAAGCAAAGGGAGTCGCTGAGTTGCAGTCATAGAGCAATTGCTGACATCTAAACGAGCACATTCTCTCTCCCTGAGTAGATAAAGAATATGTGTGTGCTCAGAGCAAGTGTGGGGTGTTTGGGGGTAAATGATACAATGCCAGGTAGAAATTGTCATGACATGTAGAGACAGGTTTAATGACCTGGAGGAGCTAATTTACTCAATGGACCCTGAAAAAGTTAATGTGCCTTCAAAAATTGAGCAATTAAGTTTCCTCACCAGCAAAATACGTCCCAGTACAGTTCTTGGATCACTAGTAAGAAACTTGAGTAGAAGATGTGAATGGTTACCTACCAGTGTGTCCATACTCTGTATTCTGTAAATTGTCACTCTGATTTTTTTCTCCAAGGACTAAACTTAGACATGATTGCTGAATTTTTATTGGTATGACCTTGGGATGTTTGGATGATTTGGGGCGTATGGGAGTACATGAACAAGGGGCACGTATGGACATAGTCATTTATTCCTTGAACTGTTGGACAATGGCACTTTGGGCTAGGGCCACGTCTGTCTCTCCTGAGGATGTGTCATCAGCAGGTGAAAGTGAAGCCCAAGAATGAAGAAACACAACATAAAATCTAGTCTCTCAGGTTGGCCGGTATGTTTCATATTGTGGTCAGTATTTATAAATTCCAGGGTTACAGAAGATGAACAAGTGGTAGATAAGATTGTTCTCCCAGAATCTATGTGGTAGGGAGAACTGCCCTTTGTCTCCAGGCTTCCCACTTTATGGTGTCCCTTCAGTTTAGTAAATATCCATTGCTGCAAAGTCTTACAGCCTTCCTACTATGAAAACAATTCTCAGTCATAATCTATTATCGCCTACTTAAAACCTACCAGAATATATCAATATGTTAAAGCTTTCATTTAAAGTGACCTCCAACAGTGGTAGAATGAAAGAAGACAGTGCCCTTTTTGAAGGACTTCAAACAATATCTGAGGATAAAGGGAAAAATGATTTGTGGCCAGGGTGTCTTCCAGTCAGACATTAAATCCTTCTAACACATAAACTGTATGTCATTAAGTAGTGGACAGACTAATGCCATTATTCTATTTCTTCCTCGAGGTGTCTCAGCACCTAGCCTATAATCTAGTCCTGGTATTCCTTTGTTTCATTGATTTTCTAAGCAAGAATAATTTTAAAAAGTGGGCTCCTTACTGATTATTGATTATTTTTTCAAAATCCAGAAAAGTATAACAATTTCAGCAGAAACAAAAATTGCAAAAGAGTATTTTAGGCCATGAAATAATTATTTCTTATTATAATGTGCAGTATATGCAGACAATATTAGTGTTCTTACAGCAAAATCAATAACTATTGATTTTAAGACCTGCACATTCATTCATTTACAATTATAGCATTTATATGCAAATTTCTTTCTTTTTTTTTTTTTTTTTGCTTTAAGGACAATCAAATACAATCTTAAAAAAGGACAGTCAATATAATATCAAATATCTTACTTCCCCATTGGGAATGCTCTTTTCTTCCAGTTATCATGCAGCTGACCTCTATTTTCATAAGCTATTTAATATCCCTCAAAGTAAAGAAGTCTATGACCTTTAAAGGCTCTGTCTCACATGATCTCTTAGAAAATGTAAGCACTGATGATACAAAACACTTTTTTTTTTCACTTCACTTGAAGTTCATCAACATACTGTTAGCCCACCCAAAGGTCACCATTTTATAAATTATGCCTTTCACAACAAGAGAAAAGAATAGTTTAATTGGGATTTTCTGGCAGTTGCTTTGCTCAGTTATCATCAGTTACACCCGGGAAGAAGAACATGGAAGGATATCTGAGCTTTTAATCCTATACAAAAAATTTTGTAGTAAATTACCAAATAAATCAGTAGCCACACTTTATTTTTCCCAGTGGAAAAATAGGATCTAGGTGGCTAGATCCTAAACCAACAACAAGGTATCTGATATTTCATGGTGTCACATCCTTCTCATTCTATTGTTTCCATTATTTTCTCTACCTCCCTCTTTCCCTTGCTTCCTACCACCCCCCCCCCCTTCTTTCTTTCTTGTCTCAATTTTGCTTTGGTATGAACAACATATAATTTTTATTTATTTTGTGAAAATGGGACAGGAGATGGAGAAGCCCTCTGTTAACAGTGTCTCATTTAATATAAGTAGCCAACAAGTTCTAGGTGCCAAATAAATGGAGGGAAGCAAAAGTCCCAGAAGTCTAAGAGAGAAGTTGATTTTCAGGAGATAAAACTAGAGAAAAAAGGTTGGGAGCAAAACTGATGAGCAGAGAAGAAAGGGAATTTGAAAATTAGGAGAGAAAAACTCACCTATTATGGGGTTTGAGTTTGAAATTTACACGCAGGAGATTTCAAAAAAAACTGGTGATTTGACTGAAACATGGCATAGAGAAAGAGACTTTTTTGTGAAGTGGTTGTTGAATGGCATGGCTGACAGGTTAGAGAGTCATACTAAATGTGAGAAGTCTATGATATAATTTCTCCTATTACTATCACATCTGGCCTTTTGATAGCTGTGACCAAAACAGATTTGGTTCTACCACTGCTGAGCAACGAGAGTATAGCAATTGGAGTATAACTGAAAAGACTCTTGTTATTGCTGTTTGACAAGAGGCTAGAGGTCCCAGAGTGAGACAACTGGACTCTCAAACCGTGATTAAGCCAACCTGACTTGAGATAGAGGAAAAACCAGCACACTGTGCATCTAGAGAGGTTATCAGAATAGGCCATAGCAAAGGAAAGGAGAAGATGCCAATTGCAGAAGTTCTACAATAGAGACATGTGGCTGTCCTTGTAAATTTGGGACTGGAAGCAAGTGGAAGGAGTAGACTTTTTTTTTAAATATTTTTTTAAATGTTATTTATTTTTGAGAGAGAGAGAGAGAGAGAGAGCAAGCATGTGTGAGGGAGGGGCAGAGAGAGAGAGAGGGAGACACAGAATATGAAGAAGGCTCCAGGCTCTGAGCTGTCAGCACATAGCTGGACACAGGGCTCGAACCCACGAACCGTGAGATCATGACCTGAGCCGAAGTCCAACGCTTAACCACCGAGGTACCCCAGGAGTAGTTTTAATCATGTCAAAGTTGGAGCAGTTGTAAGACATTCATATGAAACAACAAATAAACAGACACTCAGTGATTAAAAGAAAAACTGATCGTGGGAAACGATCATCTGGGAAGGGTCTTCTTTTACCCCTGCACTTAAAAGTTGAAAAATATACAGATAGTTAAAATTTGGTATTGTTTCTAGAAAGTTATTTCCCATTATATTGATAGGGATAAGTGGATAGGGGAACAGCAGTCACTTTTCAGCAACCAATGCAAAAGAAGTGTGAATACATTTGTTGCGGCAGATGGGCTAATTAATCCATAAGCAACTTGTGAATGTTAAGTAAAGAATATAGCTTTTCATATGTAAACCATATCACGGCAATGTTTGATGAGGCTTCTGTTTAACGAACAATCTACCCTTTTGGATAAACTGCAAAATCTGGGCCACTTGTCAGCAACCTCCCC